ATATTTAAAAACAAATTTAACTATTCGGACTTTTAATCATCACCTGTTTTAAATCGGTGAAAAAGTGTTTAAAACTGGTTTTTTCCATCCTTAGTATTAATAAGAGTCTTGACCCTAACACTAAATGAACGAACTTTAAAGAATTTTGACTGCGCCACAAACCTGGCACACATTCAAGGAATGCCCTGATTTTGAAATCTGATTCGTAGCTCCACAAACCTGGCAAACACGTTGAAGATTACAAATAATGACGAAACTAATCATGACGATCAATTAAATCATTATGATCTCGGTGCTTACCCTAAATGACGTTTCTCATATGATTATCATAATAATACTTAAATAAGCAAAACGATAACCTTAACACTTTTTAAAATAGGAAAAAATATAGCGCACCATCCATATTTCATATGATCTTACTGGTATATAGCACATAATCATTTATCTTATTTTCCACTGCCGCAATTAAGTCTCTTTGGAAAACTTGTAAACGCATTTTCGGACACCAAATGAAGTTTCTCTTTATAGCTTGTTTTTTATTCTCATTTCTTTGGTGTACTATCGTAAAAGCTCGTTTAATCGACGGTAGTGACAACAATGCCATAAATCCGACTGCTGGAACTCCGCATCAACCTTTCTTGAGAGCTATTAGCTCAATGAATTTCAAGTACAGTAATTAATCATTGGTCTATAATATGAGTGTTGCCTAGGAAATAAAGCTTTGGGCTTTCAAATTTATATTTACCAGTTTCAAGCTGATATACAATATAGAAATAATTTCTAAAACAACGTGCATGCGTAATACTTTTTAGAAATTATTTCTAAACTAGCACATCTCTAATGGCAAATTGATTAGAGCCTAAATTTAATTACTATCATATATGTCGTTTGCCAGGTTTTTCAGGACATAATAAATAAACTTGAAATCTCAAGTCACATTTTTCCTTGGCAGCATTTATTCAATTAAAGTTTATTCAGTAATAACTCTTAATTCACAATATAGTCAAAATTTTACTCCTGTTTCGTCTCCCACTGACTTTCTTGGTTTAAACTCGAGCGGTCCGACAACTATTAAATGCACCGATCGTGTACCTTCTGGGATATATCCCATGCCAAGATGCATATCAAACGTTATATGTAGTTATAATATTCCACCTTACGATATTAATGCGTTGTCAAGTTATCGTTCATATAGACGGACTAGCCATTTCGTAAGTTGTATATGAATTTATGATCATTGAGCTTGTGCTTCGTTGAATTTAATATCTTTTATTGTATTTATATAAAATATTATAGGCCACTTTTTTCGCTCATTACATTTCGTTTGATATTACAGTTTCAATGAACACAAATCCAACATACCCAATGTTCTTACCGGCAGATGATCCGTTTTATAATCCAAATCAGAATTCCACTGTATCTCCATACCAACTTAATGTACCTTTTTTACCGGTTAATCGATCCGATGGAAATAATAACACTAATCCAGCAACGAGAAATCCTCTTCTTAGTGGAATAAACTCTGTCACTCCCTTTCTTGACTTAAATACTATTTACGGACTGAGTGATCAGGACGCGATAGAAAGGCTTAGAGACACATCTACCAATAAAGGAAAATTGAAGACGTATATTTTTAACGGCCAAGAATTTCCTCCAACAAATGCCTCGGATGGTTCATATATTTGGGGTATTCCTAGACGTGCATTTACTATATTTACTTTGGCTATCCAGACGATTTGGATACGCGAACATAATCGATTATGTGAAGAATTGTATCAACAATACGGTAGTTCCTGGACTGATGAACAATATTTTCAGGAAGCTGTAGGTCATCAATGATATCCTCTTCTTTTTTTTTCTTGTTAGTTTTCGTTATTAAATTCGTCTGTTGATGATCAAATAATTTTTATTTCAGAGACGTTGGACTACTGCTTTCTACCAAAAAGCTGTTGCTGAAGAATATGTTGGTGCTATTCTTGGTCGTCCTTTACCAGCCTATCAAAACTATAATCCAAATCTTACACCAGGTTAGAAATGCTGTGATAAGGTCTTGTTATTCTGATACTATATTTTCTAACTTTAAATTTAAACGTGTATTAACAGGAGTTGATACATTCTTTTCAACTGTTACATTTCGATACGGTCATAGTGAACTAAGGTTAATATTATTTTACATAATTTTTTTTTTTAATTGAAAATGTTTAATAAAATTTCCTAAATTTTTATAGCGATTTTTACCGAATTCAAGATGAATACGGAGATACTCTTTATAATTTAGCTTTGAACGATCTTAGCAACCTAACGCTTTTAGAACAACTTGGTTTAGAAAGAGTACTTTGGTCTATGATTCTTCAACGCCAGGAAGAAGTTGATAGTTTTTTAGCCAATTCAACTAAAAAAGTTATTAATTTTGATCATATTCTTGATCTAGCAGCTACCGATATTATAAGGAGTAGGGATCGTGGTAGGATATTTACTTGTACCGGAATTTCTTATATTGTATTTTTTTTCTTCACAATCATGTTTATTATAAATGTAATCATAGGCATTCCCTTGTATAATGAGGCTCGACAATATTTTGGATTTCCTAAAGCTCAATCATTTGCTGACATTTCCAAAAATCCTATCATTCAACAAAATTTGGCTAAAATCTATCCAAATGGTGAATATAAAAATTCATTTAAATTCATTTGTAAGTTTTTCTATAAATGCTAATTGACTAAAAATGCTTTTTTTCGTTTTAGGAGTTGATACTGTAGAAGCGTTTGTTGGTGCGTTGAGTGAAGATCATTTAGATGGTTCAAATTTTGGCATGATTTTGAATGCAAGCTTGGTGACGCAGGTAGTCATTGCTTATATGTTTTGGTTATGTATATTTTGATTATATTGTTTTGTTAAATTCTTTATCAATATATATATATTTTTTTTAAAAAAAGTATACATATATTAGGGATTCTGATAGGTTTTGGTTCGAAAAGCCTGATATGTTTACTTCTGATGAACAAAATATCATAAGAAATACGACACTTCGAAATATCATAACTCGTAACATTAATAGTAATGTAAATTTCCCACAAAATATTTGGTCCGTCCAGCCTCAAAAATCACTTAGCAATGGTGATGATAGTAATTATCCAACCAAGATTAGCACTTGGAGTCAATATATTGTGAGCTGTAGAGTTGATTTGAATTATGTGTATTTCAAAGTTCAGCTTCAAACTTCTGAAGGCAATGGTTGGTTTGGAATGGTAAGCTTAAATACGTTTTTTAATAATTAGGTTTTGAATATTCTTTTATCCAGTCGGTTCATTATGTCAACATATATAATAGGGGTTTAGTCCAGAGGATGAAGGAATGAAAGGTGCTGAATTTATCATTGGCATTGTAAGTCTCAATTAAACATATAAATTGTTGCTTTGCAAAGAAGGATTGCTATCTAACACTTTACGTTATCAAAGGTTTCCAATGGAAATGTCACATTGGAAAATTATCATGCTGATGTGGGTGGTTACCATCCTCCCATTCGTGATTCCGATCAAGATCCTACTATTGTACCAAAGGTTTCTATGGCTGATAACAGTGCTGTGACCGTAGAGTTCAAAAGACTTCTCAAGCCGCCAGGTAGAAAACCAATTACTCATGGTGAAATGAAATGTGCGATATTTAATTTTTATATGATATTCATGATATTATATTGTTGAAAATTTTGTAATGTTGAAAATATTAATTTATTAATGTATATACAGATATTTTAGCTTATAATCCAAACAGCAACGCCTTCTCTTATCACCAAAATAATCGTATGTTGTTTCGTGTGAACTTTTACAATAGCGAAATTAATTCTGCGACCTCAAACAACCTCCAAAGGCTGGTTAGATTAACTCATGGCTGTGGAATGTTCTTTACATGGTGGTAAATAAAATGTTTTCTATGCCGGCAATATAAACTCCTAAAAGGAAATAGCCGAAAAAAATGAGACAATATATGGTCTTTGCTAGGAAAATGACCCTCCGAAGCTATGTTGATTTTGTGAATAAAAATTAAACTTGCCAACCATCTAGTTATCAATTTGAATGAACTTTTTTTTATTTTATGGAGTTAAATAAGTTCTACAAAATAATAATAATAATAATAATAAATTCATTCGAATTGGATGACTAGATGGCCGGATATTTAATTTCTATTCACAATAAAATCAACATAACCTTGGAGAGTAATTTTCCTAGCAAAGATCCCATATCCAGTCAACCCTCCATAATGCATGCACTATATATTCCCACTAAATACACTCTAATATTCAGTCCCGAGTATATAGAGCATTTAATAAAACGCCCTCCATATAAACGCACATCCTCTCTAAATGCACATCTTTAAAAATCCCAAGGGGATGCATTTACGGAGGGTTGGCTGTAATAGGTGATATATAGTTTATTTATAAAGCCTTTAACACCTCAATCCTATATTTATTTTCACACTTTAAGTTGCCTTTTAGGAATTGGTATTAATGGTACAAATAAGAAATCTCAACCCATTTTTTTATGTTACTAGATAGTTATCTAAACATTATTGTATTTTTTTAGCATCTTATTCCCGATTTCAGCCTTAGTCGTTCGGTACTGGAAGGTATGTTCAGTTCATTGTTTTCTCTCGTAAACCGGATTAATTCCGGATTTTATGCCTCCTGTACTACGTACAGTAGAATGTTGACACAAATTTATTATTATAGCATCATCATCTACATCTTAGAGCTCATCGATTTATGCAAGTTACGGGCGGTATTTCCGCTTCAGCATTTGGTGCTGCTGCCATTTCTACAGTGGTGGCGACACAAACGCCACATGCTTGGTACGTATTACATTATTTTTATTTTGTCTGTTTTTACTACTTATATATCGACTAATCGACAAAATTTAGGACGGGATTGATAATCTATACTTTAGCATTTATTGAATTAGGTACTTTGTAATTATTGAAATTTCAATTTAATTAATTCAGTTAATTTAATTGTTTGACATTCCATAGGCATTGGTCTATTCGCTTTTTGGGGACAATCGTCTGTGGTATCAGTTAATAAGGTCTGTTTCTGCATTTGACATTCATAAACTTTTATTTAATAAATTAGTTAATCATATATCTCATTTGTTAGGGTTATCCAAGGTTTACAAAGCGCTTACATAAAATATTTGGTTTAACGCTATTATTGGCAGCATGGTAAAAATTATTGTAACCATTTTCTTACTGTTCTTATTTTCAATTTTCTGATGTATTAAAATATATAAATTCTTTTGTTATCTTTTTGTTATCAAAAATTGTAGGGTTAATATTTATCTTGGTGAATATTTAAATAAAATTATTTTACATATAATAGTTTGTAAATTTAATATCTTAATTGTTTTTATATCGATTTTTAGGAATCGATACATACGCCCTTTCTTACGGCTAGTAAGTACAATACTTTCAATATATTTAGTTTACTACAATTTTCTACAATATTATTATTTTCTGATCTAAAAAAATCTTTATCATAAATAGTAACTTACTTGGATGGAAAATTGCATACATAATTTGGATAATAATATTATTTATTATTGTCTTAATTTTTGAACTCTGGTGGCGTTTTGAAGCAGTTTTTTACCGATTATTTTGTATTAAATATGATACTATTGCCGAAAACAATACGGTACATACTTATATTAGTTATGACGATTATTCTAAATTACCCGATTTTACATGGGAAGAAATTAATGAACGAGTTCAACATGGGGTAGGTCTAATTATTTTGAATTATCAATAAGTGCTGCAAACAAAAAAAATAAAAATTAGTTTTTAATTTTCGTCTTACCTTTGACGCATTATGATACTAAACCTATACGAGTAAAATTTATATTTATTGAATTCCTCTTAGCGCTTTTCAAATTAATAGCCTTTTTTTCTATTTTTCGTATAAATTAAAACGAATCCTTTTGTTAAAACTCAATCAATTCCGAGACAATAAAAATTGAGTCCAATTACTTTAAAGAGCGTGCTAAGAGAAATTTAAGTATTATAATTTTATTTGCATAGGTTTAGTACCGGCAAGGAACTTTATTATTGGAATTTACTATATATTGTGCGGAATTTTTGTAATTTGTCCGAAGCATCCATTGACAACGTTTAAATAAAAGACTAGAAAAATCAGAATACCGTACCGTTCCGAAATTAAGCATTCCCCGAAAATAAGCACCCCTGGCCCACATTATGCAAACCTTGGCCCGCATTATGACAATTTTGGCCAGCACTAAATGCAAAAAAGGGGTGCTTAATTTCAACCGGGTTTAAATCACCACCCAAAAAAGTTTCAGTTATCCTAACAGGCCAATCAAAATTTAAGATCAGGTGTAACGTAACACGATCTGGAAAATTTAAAACAAACGTCCGTTTTGTTAAAAATCGCACATATCTCAAAATTTAGTCTATGAAAAATTTTTCCTTTCAAAATTTTGATATAAGAAACACTCTCAAGTCAAAATTTAATAACAAATTATAGACTCTAATCTAATATCGTAAATTTTTACTCTGAAACTTTTTCGGGTGGTGATTTAACCCCGGTTCTTAATTTCGGAACGGTACGGTAATTAAGAAATTAGCTTCAAAATTTTAACCTTATTTGTTTTTTCATTATTTAGGCTTATTTGGTTGTTTGCGATGGACTTGTAGTAGACATTCGCAGTTTTAGTGAGGCCCACCCAGGTCGGTTTTCAATAATGTTTTTTTTTTCACGTAAATTTTTATTTATAACTAATGCTAAATTTATCTTAACACTTGATATAATAGGTGGAAGTAAAGTATTATTGCACGTAAATATCACAATATTGATCTCTAAATTCTGTTCATGTAAATTGATTATTAATCGTTATTACTTTACGGCCTTGTAATTAATGATTTATTATAATAGGCTATTGGGACAGATATTACAAATGGTAAGAAATAATGCAAATATCTGTTTAAATATACGTTTATTGACTAAACTATAAATAAATACTTTCATTTAGACTTTTATAACACACATGAAAATAAAACTTTCGAAGAGACAGATTCTTCAGAAGCTTTATTAATTCCAAAAGATATACCTTCTAAAAAGTACCCGTCTGTGCTTGCAAAACATATTGATCATCTTCAAGGAAAACCAGAACCTCGAACTAAACTGACAGCTGCCAAATTCATCGATAACATTAATGGAAAATTTTATTCTAGAAAACCGTTGGCGCAACACGCTCATAGCAGATTTGCTATGCAACAAATAGTGTCAATGGTTATAGGCAAAGTAAATGAAGAAATGAAGGTGAACGAAAAAGAACATGTGGTCCAAGGTGGTACTTTTCAAACTCTAGATAGCAAACCTGTTGGGATAGACACAAAAAGTATCAAATTTCACCGTTATAGGCTTACAAGCAAAAAAATGATTAATGCGAATGTTGAATATCCTGTGATGAAGTTTACATTTTCCAAAATACATCAAGACGAAAAAGATGTTTCCTCTGAAAAATTCTTACCTGGACATTACATTGAGGCGCAATCTAGAGTAAATGGACAAATTGTGATTAGAAGCTATACTCCTTTGGACGGTAGCTTATCCAAGTCGTTTACCATTTACGTCAAAATTTATCCAAAAGGACTCTTTTCACAGCATTTGGTATGTATACAATAACATTCACACTTTCTTTTTTTTTTAATAATAATTTTATGTTCACACTAGTTTTCATTTTTAGAATGAGCAACTAATAGGGTATGAAATTCAAGCACGTGGTCCATTTGATGCTTGTGATAGACTATCAGAGCCTCGTCAGAGCATTTTACCATCCGCAAAGCCTCGCACTCCTCACACTAAACTTACTGGAATGTCATCTACGGAAAAAACTTCTTTATTAAATCCAGATAGCCCAGATGGTTGTTGGGATGAATTATATATGATTGCAGGTACTTGTTAAATAAATGTTATACATTGACGTTTATTATAAAAAATGTTGATTATAACCTTTTTTCATTTTCTTAGGTGGCACCGGAATAACACCAATGATACAGGTAATTTAATATTCATTTTTATCAAGCATTCATAGTAATTTTATAATAATTTCTCACGTCGATTATATCAGCTGATCAAGTATCATTTGGAATGCTCGATGAAACAAGAAAACGATAACAATAAATACAAACAAATGCATTTATTATTTGGGAACCGTAAAATTGAAGATGTTATCGATGGAATGTTCCTTGAAGATCTTGCGCTTTCAA